CCCAATGTGTGTAGATATACTTATGAATATGTGTATGTCAAAATTTGCCTCTTAACACATGCACCCCATTACAGCAATACAATAAAACCACTTGATACAGAGCCACAAGTCAACCTACTTAGATCAGTGCCATATAAGTGAACATACTGCACTAGTTGTGTTCACCCTTAGCGTCCACCAGCAGCTCTCCCTCAATCCGCAGTAACAATTTTGAACTCTATTGCCCAGGGATTTAGCGAGACTGGAAGCCCACCTATCTGTTTTTGAAATGCTTTTTCCTGATTACCCACCTGGGTAAGCACAACTACCAGCTCACTTTGGCAGTGTGCATCCAACTAACTCCGCACCGGAAGAACACACTACTAGACAAGTTCCTGCCTGGAGCAGGAAACTATGGGGAGTGGTATTAGGAACACCGACCATGCAATTTTCCAGATATTGGAAAGGCTGTTGATTCAGGGTTTTGGACACGTACCAGTAGCACTCTGCAAAGTATTAGTTTGTTGCCTGAGCAAACTCATGATGTCCTCGTACATTTCCCTGATGTGCCCCTTGGTCCTTTTTTCCTCTTGCGCAACAACCAATCCCTTCATTCTCAGGCCTGCTCCATGGTCAAGCCCCATAAGTACACTACTCATTTGTGCTCATAAATGGAGGCCATGGAGGATTAAAAAGGATCTTATCAAACAAATATTCCCTTAGTCTATTTCTTTCTCTTCCCCATAAAGGTCAGATGTTTAAAAGGCATGGAAAGAAGATTTTTCAAGGCCACCATACCAGAGGGCTATGGATTTAAAAGAGAGACAGATGCACTATTAGATGTTGATATTTCTGTGGCTGTTCTGTCATTTTGCTTTTCTCCCCATATATAACCTTTGGGGGGTTTTGGGGGGGGGGGGGGGGGGCATGTAGTGGGGAGAACAGGTGTGGGTTGAGAGGCAGTCTGAGTGTGGGTGGCTCAATAGAAGATCTGGGTGTATAGCACCTTGTTGGAGTTCTGGGCACAATGGTAATGTGACTCTGCAGGGGATCTACATGAAGGTGGTTGGTGCTCATCAGGCGGAGGGGGAATACAGCTTAGCATGGGGTCTTGGTGCACAGGGACTAGGTGGGGAGTCCAGAAGCTTGGGAACTGGGGCTCAATCTAGTGAGGACATGGGCGACTTATCGGGGTGGTCCACATGCAGGAGTAATGGGGCTCAGAAGGGCCAAGGCTCAACAGGAGGGTCTAGGCAGGAGGGGGTCTCTGAACATACAGGAATTGGATGGATCCTTTCCCCTGCAGCTGAGAAGCAATGGATGCAGGGGAGCAGTGGAAATTTGCAAAGCTTTCTGAGTCCAGGAGAGACATCTGGGGGATGGTATGACCTTGTTTCAAAAGCCATGCAGGGGAAGAGGAAGTCCTATCTTCCCCCATCAAGTCTTTCCTAGACACGCCTCCTACCCTAGACACGCCTCCCATCCCATATTGATTTACCTTCCTAGTAGCTTCCCTGAGCCCCAAAAACATACTGCTGGGAGAGTCTTATGACCGCTTTTGTGGCAGCCCTTTGCTTCGCCCTCCAAAAGGCATTTACTAGGGGGAAGCAAAAAAATCTATGGGAGGACAAATGCTGCACATGCACAGTGGTGCAGAATTCCCAGCAGTGTAATATAACAAGGTAACTTGTCAACTCAAGTCTGTAGAGAAGAGTTGGCCGCATGGATTTTTATACTTCTGTGATGACATATGCAAGAAGGGTCTCACAGTAGCTTCACTAAAGTTATGTTTTCATGGCCAAGAAAGGAAGAGATTTTTTTTGTTTGGGTTGTCTCCCCTCCTATTCACCCTCGCACTGCAAAATCCCAGTGAAGAGAAACTGCGAGTCATTTTTACTACAATGTTATTACGTGAAGTCAACACATACCCCACAACTGTCAGGCTGTGTCCAGACTCAGGGGTTTTTTCGAAAAAACATCACCTGCGTCTAGACTGCAGCTGCGTTCTTTCGAAATTAAATCGAAAGAACGCGGCTTTTCTTTCGACGGCGGTAAACCTCATTTCACAAGGAAGAACGCCTTTTTTCGAAAGTGCTCTTTCGAAAAAAGGCGTTCTTGAATGCCAACAGGGCTTTTTAGAAAGAGAGCATCCAGACTCACTCGCTGCTTTCTTTCGAAAAAGCGGCTTGCTCTAGACGTTCTTTTTCGAAAGAGGCTTTTTCGAAAGATACTTTCGAAAAAGCCTCTTTCGAAAGAGGCTTGCAGTCTAGACATATCCTCATTGATCTTTCTTAGTGAAATTTCAGTTTCAAAATAGAAATCTGCTTTGCTTCACTAGAATTTTATAGCAAGATAGCTAATATGCATTAGTTATTCACCAATTTTCCATTCTTGTTCATGCCTTTTTCTGTTTCTTCAATTTATTTCAAACAAACACTCGCTACAAATGTTAAACAAAGTCCATTAGAATATACAGCTTCGTCTCACTTCTCTCAATCTCTAAGTTCCTTTTCATCTCCCATTATCATTGCTTTCTGATTCCAGTATAATTGTTTCATTATTCAGAGTTTGTAGCCATCAATCCCTACAGCTCTTAATATACTGAGCAATTTGTAGTGGTAGTTTGTCAAATGCTTTTTGGAAGTCAATGAACACAAATATTGCTATTTTCCCCATTTCAAATGATCTTTCTAATATGAGCTTTACATTCACCAAGTCATAGTAGCTTGCCACATTTGAAGCTGTATTGTTATTCATTTGTTTCATTACAAATCTCTCTCTCCCCCCCCCCCATTCAGCCTGGAACAACTTGAAAGAGTATCTTACAGACATGTGACACTAGGCTGATTATTCTGTATTCTTTACAATCCATTGCATTGTTCTTTTTGGGGATTTGGGGAAGGTTAAAGAGCTGTTGTCAAACAACCAAAACTTTGGTCAGAAAGTTTACCTAATTACTACCCACATAGGGGGAATACACAATCTCTTCTCTATTTCTAAACATTACATAGGGGGAATACACAATCTCTTCTCAATGTTTAGAAATAGAGCTTTTTGCTGCACTTTGAATATTAATTTTCACTATTTCCTCTCTATAGTCAATTAGGCCTTGTCAATGCCACAAAACTCAACTACTTATGACAATGGGTGGGACTCATCTTGATTTGTTCTAGCCTATGTTTGTATGTAAGCTATATATAGCCCCAATTCAGCTGCACTCATTGCTAGCACTCTCAGTCAACAATAGCTCGGTTGAGAATAGTACAGGGTTCAAGTCATGCTTCCCATGTTATTTAAATTGAGGGACTCCACTCTCTATATCCCGTTCCCTCCAAAGAACATATGCTGCAATGGGAGAGATGGGAAAAACAAAGTAATAGGATAATAAGTTGTAAAACTACCAAATTGACAGTTCAGTACTGAACCGAGACTGGAGCACCATATTTTTATGAAGTAAAATATTATGATCCAAATGAACAGGGCTCGACAAATTATACAATCTACTCGCCCGTGGTGAGTAGATTGTAACCCGGAAGAGCCAGGTTTGGGGGATCTGCGCATGCGCGGATCACCGGACAGCGTGGCTGGCGAGCAGGGCTCGCTGCGGTTCGGCGAGCCCTGCGAAAGAAAACATAATAATTAAGTAGTAGCCATGCCACCTCTGCAATATAAAATAAACCCACCTACAGAATGTAAAAGGATAAGTCTTCACAGCAACGTTATTTTGAAATACCTAGCGTTATTCTGAAATAACAGTCCGCGTCTACACAGCGGGCAGTTACTTTGAAATGTCAAAATACTATCAAGTTGGAGGACTTCTTACTCCGACTCCTGTAACCCTCATTGTACGAGGAGTAAGGGAAGTCGGAGGAAGAGTGCACTATTTTGAAATAAGTGCTGTGTAGATGCTCCCAATTTTGAAATAAGCTATTTTGAAAAAAAAGCTATGCAAGTGACATAGCTCAATTTGCATAGTTTATTTCCAGTTAAGCCCTGCTATACAGACACACCCAAACTGTTTCAGAAGCCAGTTGTAGTCTACCATTCCTTGAAACTAGTTTGATACTGGCCTGTGTATTCTAATGGCCAAAAGAATTACAAACTATTTAAATTAATGCATTGCTCAGTCACTACATTGACAACTTAAATAATTTCTGGTTTTATGTGATCTGAGTCACCAACATCTGCAAGTATCTTTATAGCTTGCGTAACAGCTGGATTTATATTTTTACTCACCAAAGTAGAAAAAAGGATTTTTTTTTGTATGATTCCCATGGTATTTTGGAATCAGCATATCATGAAAAACACAACAGTCCTCCAGAACAGCCTATGAATCACATTTATTACTCAGTTCATATTCTAGGGTTTCTTCATCTTGAGCCAATAGAAGAGCACAAAACAAGGACATTGCTTATGGAGAGCCAGTACAAATTAGCCACCTACTCATCCAATTCTCCACTCTGTTGATACTAAAGTGCATATAAGAAGGTGTATGCTGCTTGTGTCAAAAATCCATTTTGCCCCATGGGGTGCCATTACTTAACTGACTAGTCATTCTCAAACGTTGGGTTAGTGGTAACCCATGGTCCACCCATGGAGTGGTATCTCATGCTCTTTTTGCTGGTCTCTGCATTGAATCACTTTGAGAATTAACCAGTTAGGGCTAATGAGCACTGGAGGGAGAGGGAAGAGCCACAAAATGGCACAAAGTAACAAGAAAAGTTTGAGCCCCGTGCCAGGTAGGCGTATTAGAAGTGCAGGTCCATGTGCTTTTGCCAGAAACATTGGGATCTGGACACTGAATGAGGAAGGTTACTAGTCCAACATTCTAATCGCACATGGCAGGTTAAGAAGCCCACTGCTCGCGCACACACATGCACGCACGCACCTCTTTAAAGTTTCTCTTTGAAAGAGGAACCTTGCAAATGACTTAGCAAGCACTGCCGAGACTGTTAAGTTGATCCAAGTTCTACCCCAGCTATCTCCCTCCCTGACAGAAGCCTGCACTTGTGACAGCGTACCTCTTTGATTCGTTTCACTAGGGCATTCTGATCAAAGGCAACCGCTTCTGCACACTGATGAAGGTGATCTTGGTATCGAAGGCAGAGCTGTAACACTTGCTGAGAGTCTAGCTTCTCCAATTTGCTGTTTGTAGGGGAAGTCTGCCCACTGAGAAGTCCTGGAAGAGATGGGCAATAATGGAATTAATCTGACAGTTTACATAGCTAATACACAACTGAAGTATGAAAGATGAGCAGGAACAAACCTGCAAAAAACAAGGAGGAAACTTTTAAGAGGTAGTTAAAATTAATTCAAGAATAAAAACTATTAAATGATGTAACAGTCATGAGAGAAAAATGCGAGGGAAGTGTGTTCTGAAAAGATGCATCTTAAAATAAATTATGCAGTGTATAGAAGTGCTAAAGCAAGTACCCCAATCACATATTGCAAGGATCTTTGCCAGAACTTAAATCTTAGAGCAGCAATACAATTTCAGGTAACACAAGTTACTACTGTTGGATTATCTAAAAAGTTAAAATTGCCTTCCTTCTGCCTCAACTTCCAACATTTGAAAACCTAGGATGAATTTTAAAAGGTGGGAAA